CACAATATGTGTTTCCCAGGGAAACTCGTATCGTGTTTTTACTGATGAAGGCCGGACCCCGGCTGAAACTTAGGAAAAATAAAAAGTTTTCGTGCCGTCCTTCATTTTTCGGTATATATATATATATATATATATATATATAGAAGAATAACTTCGGTTGCCGCAAGGTTATAAATATGAAAGTAGATGCGCTTTCACATAACAACTGTTTATTGTGCCGACGTTTCGACAGGAACCCTGTCTTTTTCAAGGCATAATACTATTTACACATGTTCCGTGCCTTTTTATATCCTGTCGAGACAGGAGGGGAGGGGTCAAATGAGAAAGAGAGAGAGAAAAAAAAAAGAAGGAAGAAACAGCGAAACGGGAGGACAAACAATAAATAAAATATAGAAAATCTAGGAGAAGAAGCAAGACCGACATGGCGTAATTAGAAAGGGGCGGCATTTCAACAGAGTAGGGCAGAGGTAGATGAGGAGTGTCATCATTGTCAACAATACCTTTCCCGCACCCACACTTCCCCAAGTGGGCAGGGAGCCGCCGTTTTTGTATTTCACCTTTCCGTGTAGTCCGCTGGCGGCTCGTTCCTCTTTGAAGTGTATGACAAGTTAATGGGGAGGGCTTAAGCGCTTTAAGTGCATGCTGGTGGCATCGGGAGTAGCGAAAAAGCCGGTGAATGAGGCACTGCCATCGATATTCGTTATATGCATTGGTTCCTTGTCAGTGAAGGAACAGAATGTGCGTAAAAGGATTAACGAAGGAAAAAAAAAAGAAGAAGAACAGGGGGGGGGGGAGAGACTGTACCACTCCGGCACAGTCACCACACAGTTAAGGCGCACTAGGAAGATATGCGCGCATGTAGGAAAAAGTTAACGAAACCACCTAGCTGTCAGCTTCTTGTCAGTGAAGGCAAAGAATGTGCGTTGAAGCTTGAAAAAAAAAAGGGAGGGGGGGGGGGGGGACCGTACGACCTCCGGAACCACTTATCTGTGCGTTCCGGCTGTGCTTGATGAGGCAAATCGTTTCTTTGTTGTCAGATGCATAGGCCAAAAGCTTCGTTAGCGGGTAATATTATTGTCGTAATGAAACCGGACTGATTAGAGAGAAGCGTTTGCGTCTTTTAGTTGTCGTAACGCAGACAGAGTGCCTGGGTGTTCATTTATTCCGTATTTTATCGTGTTAAATTTGTAGATAAAATAAGATTCCCGTTGTTCCCGTTCTCTGATTGTTCGAAATTTGTTTTCTAGTAGTGTAACCCTGATGTCATCAAAGCTGTGGTCTTTTAATGTGCAGTGTTTTGAAAGTGGAAGGCCTGGCAGAGATCGTACATGTGCCCGATGGTTGTTGAATCTAATTCTAAACGGAGTGTCTGTCTGGCCCACGTATTGCTTGTTACATACCCCACATTCCAGGAGGTATATGACGTTGTCGGAGTCACAGTCTAGTGCACCTCTTATCATGTGCTTAAAATCCGAGTGGGTGCTTTTCGCCACTGTCGTTGTCTGCATGTGTTTGCATACCCTGCATCTGCTTTTTCCGCAAGGTTGACACCCAATTTGAGATTTCACACCTATCTTTGAATTTATTAAATGATCCTTTATATTTTTCGGCCTTCTGTATACAACACAAGGAGGAGAAGTGAAAATTTTGGATAGTCGCACGCTCTGTTCCAATATGTTGAAGTGTTTTCTTAGGACCTTGTTTATGTTCGGTGGGTTGCTCGTGAAAGTTAATAGCAAGTTTTTGCTGCGGTGTTGGTCGGCGTTTCTCTGGTGGTTGAGAAGAATCTGGCGGTCCAGATTTTCAGCTTTTTTGATGGCGTCATCGATGATAGCTGGCGGGTATTCTTGATTAAGGAGTACTTCGCGCATATGTGTGCTGTTTTTGTGGAAGTCCTCGGTGCGGGAGCAAATTCGTCGAAATCTGTGTGCTTGGGAATAGGGAATGCTGGTCTTGCAATGTCGCGGGTGGCAGCTTTTGAAGTGCAGGTATTGTTGCCTGTCTGTAGGTTTTCTGTATACGTTAGTTACCAACGCACCATCGTCAACTCGAATGAGTACATCAAGAAAGTTTATTTCAGTGTTAGAGTAGGTGTGTGTAAAATAAATGCTGGGGTGTACCTGGTTGAAAGCCTGTATGAATTTGAGGAGCTCGTTTTCCGAATGTGTCCAAATTATGAATATATCATCTAGGTACCGTTTATAGAGTAATGGTTTGATATTACAAGATGAAAGAAAATTGGACTCTATGTGGTGCATGAATATGTTAGCGTAGTTTGGGGCCATTCTTGTACCCATTGCCGTACCGCTGATTTGAAGATAGTACTGGTTGTTAAATTCAAAGCTGTTCAAATCGAGTACAAGTCTTGTGAAGATTTCAATTACTTTTTTGCTTGGATAAGCGACAGGGTTGTGTGTGCCATACGATTCAACAAGTGCCCTTACACCATCGTCATGTGGGATATTTGTGTAGAGTGAGCTAACATCCAATGTTACGAGAAATGCACCGTCTGGAATTTTCACGTCTGCTATTTCCCGAAGAAAGTGGTTTGTGTCACGCAAGAAGGACTCATGTGTGGGTGGTATGTCTTTGATTAAAGAATCAATATAACTGGAAATGGGTTCCGTTAACGTTCCCGTGCCTGATATAATGGGTCTGCCAGGGTTATTTTCTTTATGAATCTTCGGCAGCATGTAAAAACGACCAGGCGCCGAATGTACCGTGATAAGTGCCTTTTTAAGCTTTGAATTAATGGCGCCTTCACGTGTGAGATTCTCTAGGGTTGTTACAATGATTTTTTTGTGTTCCGTACCGGGGGGGGGGGACCGGAGGTCGTACGGTCCCCCCCCCCTCCCCTTTTTTTTTTTTCAAGCTTCAACGCACATTCTTTGCCTTCACTGACAAGAAGCTGACAGCTAGGTGGTTTCGTTAACTTTTTCCTACATGCGCGCATATCTTCCTAGTGCGCCTTAACTGTGTGGTGACTGTCCCGGAGTGGTACAGTCTCCCCCCCCCCCCCCCCCCTGTTCTTCTTCTTTTTTTTTCCTTCGTTAATCCTTTTACGCACATTCTGTTCCTTCACTGACAAGGAACCAATGCATATAACGAATATCGATGGCAGTGCCTCATTCACCGGCTTTTTCGCTACTCCCGATGCCACCAGCATGCACTTAAAGCGCTTAAGCCCTCCCCATTAACTTGTCATACACTTCAAAGAGGAACGAGCCGCCAGCGGACTACACGGAAAGGTGAAATACAAAACGGCGGCTCCCTGCCCACTTGGGGAAGTGTGGGTGCGGGAAAGGTATTGTTGACAATGATGACACTCCTCATCTACCTCTGCCCTACTCTGTTGAAATGCCGCCCCTTTCTAATTACGCCATGTCGGTCTTGCTTCTTCTCCTAGATTTTCTATATTTTATTTATTGTTTGTCCTCCCGTTTCGCTGTTTCTTCCTTCTTTTTTTTTCTCTCTCTCTTTCTCATTTGACCCCTCCCCTCCTGTCTCGACAGGATATAAAAAGGCACGGAACATGTGTAAATAGTATTATGCCTTGAAAAAGACAGGGTTCCTGTCGAAACGTCGGCACAATAAACAGTTGTTATGTGAAAGCGCATCTACTTTCATATATACTATATATATATATATATATATATCCCTTCCTCCTCTACACACCGCGCGCGCTTCACTCCTCCACCATCTGTGCACCCTTCCTCCTCTACACACCGCGTTCGACATCTACGATTCTCCTGATTCTCCAGTGGACGCGCATGTGGCGTCGCGCTTCGAGAACATTCAACAGCTGACAGTGCATGCGCCGTCGTGCTGTATATATACTCAAGGTCGGCGCTCGCTCAGTTGCCGCTCGTCGGTTGGTTTGTGCGGCGCGTCGACGTCCAAGGTCGCGGTGAAATGAATTCCAACGAATCCACAAACACAATGATCGACGTCCCTTCGACCAGCGCCGCCCTTTGGCATACGTGTGTACGTGTTCACTCATTTAACACCCCCTCCTACAACCACGTTAACCAATTTAGCCATCGACCCAAGTAAGTCGCACTTTAACACCCCGTTAACCAATTATATGCTCCGCATCCTCCTCAGTGTTCCCCCGAGGGAAGCTGCGGGCAATTTTTTTTCCAATGAGTCCACGGAACCGGGGGCGGCCCCGGCAGCTGGAGGAAGACAGGAAGGTGCTCTAAGAGAGCCATGCCGACAGGAGAGGTGGTGTGGAGCGGAGCAAGGGCGAAGGCCTAGGCGAGAGCTTGCCAGAGTCTGCACACAAAAAGCGCTAGGCCTCACGGGTTCTTTCAGCCGTGGTAGGAACCGAGGCGAAGAACATCCTCGTCGCCATTCTGTTGTGTCGGCGAGCGGCGTCCGACGTCGAGGGCCCGACGACTGAACGCGAGACGCAACGTGCGCCGGCACGCGCCCCCGACACGCACAGTATGAAGTGAGTTGACCGGAGCCCGCGGGAACACAACAAAGACTGAGCCGGCCAGCGGCCGTTTATTGAATGACACACAACAGATACGCGGACACACGTGATTGGCTGCATGCAATCATGTGTGTGCCGTTACAGACATCTGTTGACAGAGCACACACTAGGGCGCACTCAGCGCGCGCGCCACTCAACGGTGGCGCCACGACACAACAGAAACCAAGGAGTGCATTAGTTGTGTTTGCGTTAGGGACCCGTCACTTAGTACGAATAGGATGTCTTCAGAAAACCAGAATTCCTGTAAGGCACGCGCAGATATCTACAATACCAGTACAACGTAGCGCCGAGGATGGCTCAAGAATGTCCATAGTTTACACAAAAATACCGGTCAGCATGCTTACCCATTGCAAGGTCACATATTCTTGCATGCGCGCTGGTGACATCGTAGGGCGAGTGCCTGTGCGTATGGCTCTTAGTAACCTGATCTATTCTAAAACAGTCCATTGCCTGCGTTGCCATGCTTATTGGCATGGCTTTTGCTTTTGTATCGCAGTGCATCTGTGACAAGAGGAAAGAGCGAGAGGAGACGAGGCCCAACGGCCATGGCTTCAGTCAACATGGTGGGGTTTTCCAACGCCACCCAGTCCACTGGCCCAGGCAGCAGCGAGACCATCAGTCCCAGCGCATATGTGTGAGTGTTTTCCTCGGCATCTAACCTGCACTGCCTCTGTGTTCAAGCATCAATTTGACATTTGCATATTTAGCAGCTTGTAAAGTAATCACATTTTGTTTCAAGTGATATAACTTCAAAAAAGCGAATTACGTCGCAATGGCCTAGCCATCAATGCGTTCATTTGAATGTCACGAAAACGGTGTAAAAGAAATAATTTAGGTGTAGGCACTCTTCGCCCGCCGCGACGGGAAGCGCGTTCAGGTAATATTTGGCCTTAGTACATGCGCCGCGGCTACACTTTGCGTACAGCAAGCACTTTTGGATCTATCTAATAATCTATCTATCTATCTATCTATCTATCTATCTATCTAATTACCTATCTATCTATCTATCTATCTATTTATCTATCTATCTATTTGGCCGCCTACATCTAGTAGTTCTGGTGACCGCCTCTATAACATGGGGTAGAGCAAGAAATGGATAGATCAGGGAAAGCACGATACGTGTTTACGAGGGAAACAAGTATCGTGTTTTCCCTGATAAAGGCCGGTCCCCGGCTGAAACGTAGGAAAAATAAAAAGTTTTTGTTTTGCCCGTCCTCCACTTTTCGGTGTATATATATATATATATATATATATATATATATATATATATATATATATATATATATATATATATATATATATATATACATATACATATATATATATAATACAGGAGCACAGTGGCACACGCTCTGTGCCAGCGTGAAAACAGACGTTGACGTCCGTGTGTGGCTCGTGCTTGCCGGGTTCCTGCTTGTACCAGCTTTTTGCGGCTAACGCTTCTTGCATAATAACCTGTGTTTTTACGTGACCTCAGTCGTTGCTTTTGATGGAAACGTGCTGGGTAACGTCCTGGAGCTCCGCAGCCGTAAGCTATCATCTGATTCCGCGATGACCGAGCGCGTCGATCCCCCACAAGCCTCTTCCACGCTGCCGCCTGTCATGTGCCCTGGTGTACTGCGTCTGCGTGATCCACCCAGTATACAACGGCACTGAAGATCAAAATGTCGAGGACTGGCTGACAGACTACGGGCATGCCAGCGCGATTACCAAGTGGGATTACCCTGCGAAGCTGACTCACGCCATCTTCTACCTGACAGATTTGGCCAACCTATGGTTCACCAGCCACCAAGCCTACATCCCCACCTGGTCGGTTTTCAAAGAGGCCGTCACCTTGTTTTTCGGTCGTCCAGCCATGCGCAAGCTTCGCGTTGAACATGGCCTGCGGGGACAATTTCAGCGAAATGGTGAGATCTTCACGAGCTACATTGAGGATGTGATCAGCCTCTGTAGGCGAGTTGATGCGAGGATGACGGAGGCTGACAGAATAAAGAATATATTGAAAGGCATTGATGACAACGCTTTTCATATGCTTGTGGCCAAAGACCTGCAGACCGTCACGGCCATGATTCAGCTATGTCAATATTTCAATGAGCAGCGAAAAGCAGCGAAAAGCAGCGAATTTTTACACGTCGCGCTAATACGCAAACAGCGGATATTTTGGCTTTGGAGTGCAAAAGCAGTGGCCCGATTACAGCGTGTTAATGCCTCAAATTCAACAGTATATCTGGGAGGAAGTTGCTCGACAACTCTCTCTTGTGGCCACCATCAACGAGACCCCCACAGCACTGGACCACTCACTTCTCCATGCTATTCAGACGCAAGTTGCCGAGGCTCTCCCTTCGCCCGCGTCCGCAATATCAGGTGCTGCACCGCTGACTTATGCAAAAGCCGTCCGCCGACCTCCTGCCCAACCGCCGCTTTCTTCATACAGACCAGCCACAAACTACTACAGGTCACCAGTTTCGGTTTATCCGGTGAATCGGCCCTTTCCACCACCTGGAGCACCTGTAAACCCTTCGCGTACTCTGGATAACGGGCCCGTCTTCTACAACTGCGGTATTTCAGGACATGTCGTGTGCTACTGTCGTTGCCATGGATTCTATTTTAATGATGCTCAGCATTTCGGCAACATACCTCGGCAATCCGAATCGCATGTGACACCTGATGCACATGACCCCCGCTCACGTACACCAGACTTCAGCTGACGTCGACCTCCTTGACCCCGTCTTCGGTCTCCTTCCCCCATGCTTTGCCGTTCCAACCACGCCCAGGAGGAAAACTAACAGACGCAGTTGCTGAGGCAAAAGCTGCGCCACCAACAAAATTTCCATGGCCTCATCTTTCGCCCCCTAACGAGATTGCCGCGTTTGTGGACGGTTTTGCCACAACTGCTCTTGTCGACACAGGTGCCGCTATTTGTGTAATAGTGAAGTGTTATGCCGCAAACTGGACAAAGTGACGACACAACTGGTTGAAATTACTTTACGCACCGCGAATTCGCAGCACGTCCAACCTTCTGCCACATGCAATGCTCGTGTTGTGAATAAAGGAGTGCTTTACATCGTTGAACTTGTCGTCCTTCCGCATGCGTCTCATGAAATCATCCTGGGATGGAACTTTCTTTCCGCTAATAATGCGGTTGTCGACTGCGCTTGTGTTCAACTCGTTTTGTTTCCCTTCAGCACGACATCCATAGCTCTCCCTTGCTGACCCAAAAAGATGATCGTCGCCGCTGACGTCGTCGTCTCTGCTTTTTTGGTCGTCATGGTCTCTCTTTTGTGCAACTCCATCCCCGATTCAGCTGCCCTCTTTATGCCGTCGCAATAATGCGCTCGTCGCCGGAACCTTGTCGTCCCGTTTGCCGTCATAACACTTGCCGATGGCTCCAGTGTCGTGTACGTGTGCAATCCGTTCCCTTGTCCCGCTACCTTATTGCATGGCGAATGTATTGGGAGTCTTGACACTTATGATGACATCTTTCTTTTCGATGCCCCTTCTGATACGATGCCGATGTCCACGGATGCTGTCAGAGCTGCCAACGCGCCCTCACTACCTCACGAAGACGTCCTGTTGCGCAGCGTAGACACCGGCCTTACGCAAGACCAGCGCAATCAGCTCATTCAACTACTTGACCGTTTCCGTGCCTCCTTCGACCACGGACAACCTCCCTTGAGACGCACGTCAGTTGTCGCTCACCTTATCGACACCGGTCATCATAATCCACTTCGTCAGCGCCCCTACCACGTCTCACACGCTGAGCGTGACGTCATCGCTCAACACGTCGACGAGATGCTGCAACCTGGTGTTATTCAACACTCACATAGTCCTTGGGCTTCACCAGTGGTCCTCGTGCGAAAAAAGAATGACTCCATCAAGTTTTGCGTAGATTATTGTCGACTAAACAAGATCACCCGCAAGGATGTCTATCACCTGCCACGCATTGATGACGCCTTTGATTGCCTTCAAGGTGCGGAGTTTTTCTCTTCACTGGATCTGCGCTCTGGATATTGGCAAGTGCCAAGGGCCGAACCAGACCGTCCACAAACGGCGTTTGTGACCCCTGATGGCTTATATGAATTTAATGTAATGCCCTTTGGTCTTCGCAATGCGCCTGCAGCTTTTGCAAAAAATTAACAGTGTCCTCAGGTGACCTAAATGGCACATCTGTCTTTGCTATTTAGACGACATAGTTGTGTTCTCGGCGAATTTCTAAACTGATCTTTCCCGTCTGGAACAAGTTCTCCAGTGCCTTACGGCAGCCGGGTAGCAACTAAACTTCAAGAAATGCCGTTTTGGCGCCCGCAAACTCGCGATTCTCGGCCACGTTGTTTCGAAAGAAGCAATATTGCCAGACCCTGCCAAACTGCGGGCCGTTGCTGAGTACCCAAAGCCTACTACCCTAAACGAGCTCCGTAGTTTCATAGGCTTTTGTTCCTATTCTCAGCGTTTCATTCGCAAAATTGCCTCTACAATTGCCCCCCTGACTCAGCTTCTCTCCCGTAGCGCGGACCTCTCTGGCTGGAATTCCCATTGCAATGACGCATTCACGGCGCTGCGCCGGCTACTCACGTCTCCGCCAGTTCTCCGCCACTTTGATTTCAATGCACCCACTTAAATTCACACGGATGCTAGCGGTGTTGGCCTCGGTGTCATTCTCGCTCAACGCAAGAATGGCTGCGACGAGTACGTTGTCGCCTAGGGCAGCCGTACCCTAACGAAGACAGAGTCCAACTATTCCGTCACGGAAAAGGAGTGCTTGGCTATCATTTGGGCTATAGAAAAAATTCGCACTTACCTTTACGGACGCCAGTTTGATGTTGTCACGGATCACCATGCCTTATGCTGGCTAGCGTCCATAAAAGATCCTACTGGTCGCCTCGCTCGTTGGGCTTTACGCCTTCAGGAATACGACATCCATGTTATTTATCGCTCAGGAGGCAGACATTCAGACGCCGATGCATTATCCCGTTTTCCACTGCGTCCTGACCTTGCTTGCTTACCAACTTCCATCTGCGATTCGTCATCGTTGAGCATCACCGACATGCCATCCGAGCAGCGGAAGGATCCCTGGATAAATTCTTTGCTCGACGTCGTCTCTCACAGTTTGTCAGAAACGACTTCACGCTCCCTCTTTCGTCAAGCAAGACACTTTGCTGTTCGTTAAGGCTTGTTGTATCGCCGCAATTACGTGACGGATGGCCGTAGGTGGCTCCTTGTCATCCCTCGTCATTCGTGCTCGGAAATATGCGCTGCCTTTCACGATGACCCCCAGTGTGGCCACGCTGGAGTATTCAAGACTCACTCTCGCCTTCGTCTAAGACACTACTAGCGTGGCATGTATCGGCACGTTTGCCAGTACGTTCGGTCATGCACCACGTACCAACGCCGCAAGACGCCTTATCACAGCACTGCTGGCCCTTTGCTACCTTTAACCTGCCCAGCGAGGCCATTCGACCGCATCGGAATTGATATTTATGGTCCTCTACCCAACACTCTTCGAGACAACCGGTGGATTATCGTCGTCGTCGATAATTTGACACGCTATGCTGAAACATCTGCGCTGCCTGCTACCACTGCGAAAGACGTTGCGTCCTTTCTTCTTCACCATCTCATTTTACGACACGGTGCACC